CTGCATAGGTCCCATCAAGTCCATGTGAAGAAGTTCTAAAACTTTTGATGTAGTAAGATGTTGAATCTTCTGATGTGACATCTTAGTCTTCTTTCTAATTTGACAATCACCACATACTCTTCCTTCTTCTATCTTGAGCTTAGGAATCCCCCTCATTGCTTCTTCATATATAATTCTCTTCATACCTTTCAGATGCAAGTGCCCTAATTTTTGGTGCCATAGTTTAACTTCATTATCTTTGGCTAAAACACATGTTATTGAGAGGTTTAACTCTTGAGGAACCCATAGATAACAATTGTCTTTAGATCTGATTCCTTTCATGATAACTTCATTCTTTTCATTGCACACAAGACATTCTTCCTTGGAGAAGTTAACTTTGAATCCTTAATCACATAGTTGGCTTATGCTTATCAGGTTAGCTGTTAATCCTTTTATAAGTAACACATTATCAAGCTTAGGAACTCCTGAACAGTCAAGCTTGCCAACACCTTTAATTTCTCCTTTTGCTCCATCATCAAAAGTCACATAACTAGTTGAATGAGATTTGACATCCACCAACAGATTCTTGACACCTGTCATGTGTCTAGAACAGCCACTGTCAAAGTACCAATCATCTTTGGTTGATACTCTGAGAGAGGTGTGAGCAATGAAACTACCAACCTTGGAATTGGGAACCCACTGTTTCTCCTTTTTGCTATTTTGGGGAATCTTATCAGTTTTGGGAAGAGGATAATTTTTAGGTTATCCATACAACTTAAAACAGAAGGGCCTTATATGTCCAAGCCTTCCACAGTAATAACATCTCCAGGTTTGGGGATTCTCCCTGGTGTGATTAATATTTTTCTTCCCATGATGTCTTTTCTTCACATTAGGTTTCCCAAGATGTCCTTTCTTATTATGAGGTTGAGACATTTGATTCGACATCTTTGGTTTAGGCTTGGCATGTGTGGAAACAAATGAAGGTTGTTTGCTATGATGTTCTTTCTTCACATGATGTTTGCCAATATGTCATTTCTTACCATGAAGTTTTCCCACATGTTGAGACATTTGATTCAACAACTTTGGTTTAGGCTTGGCATGAATGGAAACAGATGAAGACTCTTCTGAGTTAGGTTCATTTTTCTCATTGAAACCTAAACCACTCTTGTCTCCTGTCATTATTCTTGCTTGGAGAATTTCATCTAGTGTGTTAGACCCATTATTCAACATCTTGAGAGATTTGACCATTCTATCAAGATTTGAATTTAGAGAAGACACTTCACTTTCCAAATCAGTAATAGTTTTAAGATGCTCTTCCATTTCCTCTTTTAGATGAGTTATAAGGGCTTTATGTTTCTCCCCTTCAAGACATACTTCTGCACTTCTGAGACATAATTCTTTCTATGAAGCAGCTAACTCATAAAAGGTTAGTTCCCTATCACTAGATTCTTCATCTGATACATATTTTCCTGTCAATACTTTAACATATTTGGCAGATTCTTCAAGATCACTCTATGAGTCCTCTTCAAACCAAGTAACAAATAGTGTCTTCTTCTATTTCTTTAGATATCTAGGACATTCAGCTCTAATGTGACCAAAGCCTTCACATTCATGACATTGTATTCTTTTTCCTTGAGAAGATTTTTCTTCAGCCCTTTTTCTTCCCACCACATTTAACTTATAACTGTCAGATGGGATGTTCTTGACATTTGATCTTTGGTTCATGTCCATTCTTTTATCACTTTATTAAATTTCCTTTCAAGCATAGTTAGAGAATTTGATATTCCTCCATCTGTATCCAGATCACAGTCCTCTTCTTCATCTTTAGTATTAGATATAAAGGCTATGCTTTTGTTTTTCTTCTCAGATCTTTCATTTATGATTAATTCAAATGTTAGAAGGGATCCAACAAGTTCATCCACTTTCATTTTTTCAATGTCTTGGGCTTCTTCTATAGTAGTTACTTTCATATCAAATCTCTTGGGAAAAGACCTGAGCATCTTTCTCACCAATTTGTCTTCAGGTATTTTCTCTCCTAAAGCACTGGAGGCATTAGCAATTTCAAGGATGTTCATATGGAAATCATTTATATTTTCATCATCTTTCATCCTCAAATTCTCAAATTTTGTGGTGAGTAACTGAAGTCTTGACATCTTAACTTTGGATGTGCCTTCATGAGTAGATAGAAGAATCCCCCATGCATCCTTAGCAACTTCACAAGTATTCACTAACCTGAAAATGTTCTTGTCAATTCCATTGAATATAGAATTCAAGGCTTTAGAGTTTCCAAGAGAAATTTCATCTTCTTCCTTAGACCAATCTTCTTCAAGTTTTAATTCAGAAGTAGGTTCTCCATTTTCTTCCAATTTGACAGGGTGTTTCCATCCTTTTAAAATAGCTTTCCAAGCCCAGTTGTTTAGGGATTTTAAAAAGGCAACCATGCATGGTTTCTAGTAGTCATAATTGCTTCAATTCATAATGGATGGTCTATTCACAAATTCTCCTTCCTTGTCCATAGTATCAGAAAGTATCTTCCTTGGATCTCACCCAGATAAAGAGCACGATGCCTGCTCTGATACCAATTTATATTCTGGTATCAGATATGTGATGTCGAATGAGATGTCATGACACAAATATCTATTTGCAAGTAAGGTGCAGTAAAATCAAAAGCAGTAAAAATACAAGAGATTGTTCACCCAGTTCAATGTACAACAACACCTACTCTAGGGACTACCAAGTCAAGGACAAGTTCACTAAATAGTATCAATTCATAGACCTTCAGTAAACAACCATTTTACGATCTAATCACTTAATCACTATCCAAGCTAAACTTCTACCTAAGACTCACCTAGATATGAGGCAATCCTCAAATCCCTTCAATCACTTACAGTGAAGAACTTAATAAGTTTGAAACACTTCAATCATTCAATGCTTAAAAGCTTATGAATGATACACAATTAACAATCCAAATAACAACTCAAGTATTTAAACTAATACTTAGAGTGTATTACAAATAAAAAGTATAGACTTCTAATCAAAAAGAAAGTATTCTTCTTCAAAAGTTGATTGTCTTTGAATAAGGAAGCAAGTCCTTATATATGCGAAGCTTTGGGCTTGGGCTTAAAAACATAATATTCAAATCTTTTGAATATTTCCATAAAAACAAGCCAAGATAAAATTATGCAATTTGAAAAATATTCCTCCATATTTTTCACAGCCTGTAGTTCACAAATCCTGAATTATGCCACGCATGAAAACATGAAACAAAAGACTTAACTGATTTTGGGCTGAGATCAGTTCAGTAGGCAGATGTCAAGACATCTGCTTTGACATCATTCAAAACAGTTTTACTTCAAATGTTAAGACATTTAGAAAAATATTCACAAGTCATTGTTTTACCAAAATTATTGCCAACAAACACTTACAACTCACTTAAATTGTTCATTAAGACATCACACTTTGAAAAGAAAGGGAAATCATGCTTACACCACTTTGTCTTGGGAATAGCTTCTAACCACTGATAAGCATCCAAACTGGACTCCTAAATCCTAAGCATCATTGATTCATTTATATATTTAGAAGCAACACCATCACCCAAGTCATCCATTTCTTCATCAAAATCCTTCATCCTCTCCTACTCACTATCATCAAATTGCACATCCCTAACTAATTCATCACTTGATTCATCATCACTGGACTCACATGGTTTACCCTTCCTTTTCTCTCTAATCCTAACTATAAAGTTACTACCTCATGTTTCAGGTTTTGTCTCGTAATATATCTCAACATCACACTTATGGTCAACAACAAACATTGATAACTCAGCAACATCTCAATCGTCCTTAAATGACTTTAAATCTTCTTCAAAACTTCCTTGTTTATGTTTCCACCACATCTTAACAGTATTAGCATCAAACTCAGGTTCAATAGATTTCACTAAGTCACGAGCTTCAAAGAATGATCAATAATCTACGTCTTGACTATTAAAGCCAAATACATCCCCACCATCGTGTCTAAGGTATGGGTCTTTTATAAAACAACACTTTGTATAAAACATCATCTTAAATGTACTCATCTCTTGTACATAATATTACCAATTTAGGATTAAAATCTACCAATTTTAACTCAAACACAATTAGGTTTCAAAATTACCAACTTATGTCAAACACGTATTAGGGTAAAAATTTAGGAATTCGATACAAACAAGTATTTTACCTATTACAAAATCAGATATGGAATACTAACTACAAGAAGAATAAGATACGGAATACGTATTTCTAACATTACAAACACTCAGATTCCAACCGTACTATTATTAAATTAGAACAAAGTGAAATACCTGGGACCACGAGAGACAAAGGAATCAAAGGAAATGAGGGACCATGCATAGACAAGAAAACGAAGGACAAAGCAACATGGACCACCACCACAAATCGTTGTCTTGAACGCAACTAGGGCTTCGATAGGAGAAGAGAACACAACTTCAGAAAATTATTTGTTTAAGACTTTGGAAATGAGTGGCAAGCAAGTGGATTTATCACTTAACGTTATCTTTCTCCACGCTGGCGATTCATTTTTTTATTATTCCATGTCACACATGCCACATCATCCTCTGTTAGTGGAAACTAACAGAAGGGACCATTTATGGGGACGACAAATTTTATAGAGACCATAAATCAAAGAAAAAATTTATAAAGACTAAAGTTTCATAGTCACATATCTATAAGGACTAAAACAATATTTAACCCTTTTATCAATAATGAAAAAAGGCATTACATTCTTTAAAAGGAAAGATAATTTACAAATTTTAAGAGTTTATACTAGTGACATTAATTTATGAAGGTATCAGAAGTTAGATGCAGCCAACAACTTCGCTTTAATGGAAGTCTTCGCCCTAATTTCAGTCTCCAGTACCGTAGAATTAACACACATATATAAAAGTGGGTTTGGTTTTCTAGTTTCAACAAACGTTTATTTCTCTAATATTCAACAACAAAGAGAAATAATAGCACACAGTGACAATGGCAATGGCAATATGCTCTCAACTAGGAGCAAGGATTCCACCACAGTGTTATCTAAAAGACTCATCCAAAACATTCCTTAATCTCCGAAAGACACACTCAATGCCATCAGAGAAAAAAGAAGTGTTCAAATCACTAGAAAACTGGGCAGTGCAAAGTCTTTTACCACTAATCAAACCTGTGGAGAAGAGCTGGCAACCGCATGACTTGTTGCCAGACTCGTCACTACCCACGGATGAGTTCATGGATCAAGTGAAGGCCTTGAAAAATCGAACGGCCGAGCTTCCAGATGATTATCTTGTAGTATTGGTGGGTGGCATGATCACCGAGGAAGCATTGCCTACGTACCAAACATGGGCAATATTATATAACAAACAATATTATATAATAAACTCTCATATTTTATAATACTTATTTAACACATAGCTTAGCATGGAAACATTAATGGATTCATGCTCTTGCTATGAGTTTTGTTGTTTTTTTTTGTTGGCTTGGTAGTTAGAGATATGCTGAGTGGTCAGCTACACTCCTTTTGTCAGCTTGCACTCTTAAGAATTATGTTGTGTCCGAGACTTTCTTTAGGAAAGTCTGAAGAGTTGGATTGATTGATTTTTAGATAATTATTTTCTTATGGTTTTGTTGTTGGGAGCTTATAAGGTTAAGTCTGCATATTAATTTTTTGGTGCACTCATTTTAATTGGTCAATCAAAACACACTATTATAAACCCTAACTGTCATATAATTATTTTATATGAAACTTTCATTTATTGCATATATGTCCTTTATAAAATTAATATTAAATTAAAAACAATTTGTTTTGACAAAATCAATTATGAATTGAAATTTTTAAATCTAAAACTCACTTTTGAAAGATCGCTTTCATCTTCTTCTTCTGATCATCCATCTTCCTTCAGTGGTGCAGACCGAATATGTATTTGTTTCCGTTCATCCTTCACTTTATTATTAACTAACAATGATCTATCATATTCATCTTCGTTCAAGGGTATCGAATAATTTTCATCTTCGTTGTGCTATTGTCTCACCTAAATTTATAGTGGAATGACGCCTTCTTTTTTCACATGTAGTTGTTCGTCCATCTCAAACTTTATATTTTTCTAAAATCAAGTTGATTTGAGTTATTATGCATAAATTATCAAATTTGATATTAATTTTGTATGTTTAGTTGAAGTTGATTTTGTGATTAGGGAAAGTATTTTAATTTGAAGTTGGTATGTGATTTGGGGATTGTGATTTGTATTTTAAGTTGAAATTCATAAATTCATAAAAAAATGCATTTGAGTTGAATTGGTAGATAGTGAAATAATCTTAATTTAATTGAATCTTCAGAGTTTCAATTGAATTATTTGTTTTTCAGTTGCATAAAGAGGAATTTATGTTGTGATATTATTCAAGTTTAAGTTGTGATTGTGTATTATTGTGAATTATGTTGATGATTTATTCTTCAAATTTCCGGTAGTTATGTGTATTTGGTGTGTAACTATGTTATAATAATTGATATTGAATTTTATCAAAATGGTCAAAACACATATTAAACGATACGATTATACAAAATACAACTCAATTATTCCAAAAAAAACCTGAAAAATCGAAAAATTTGATAATCATGAGATAACATAATACAATCAGACTTGATAATTCATGGATTACAAACGGTGTACACGCATACCACTACCGGTACTTTGCCTTAAACCAAATTATAAATAAAACAAATCAGACATAACACAAAGAAAACAAAATTACACATAAGATCCATTAGGAGTGACCGCCATGACCTCAAAAGGGCATTGCCAGACGCTCTCTGAATTCTTGGTAGTTGTAGCTGATGACCCCAGACTATAGAATCCACTTCAGTCTTAGTTTTCACAACTCCTTGTTGCATTAATAGTTTAGAGATGACTCTTCCATAAGGAATGAAGAATGTTTTTCCTTCTTGGAAGGATATAAGAGTCTTCTTCATATACTCAAAGAAAATATAGGGGAGATTGACTTTAACAACTTTGTTGACAAGTAGAAGAAAAAAGTTCCTTTCATAGCTATCTAAGACATTTATATTCTTATTCTTTGGCAAAAAGTTTGTGGCCATAATTTGATACCAGAATAATGACATAGCCTTAAGATTTAAGGCTTTAGAAATATTAGATGAATCATTGAAGATGGTGCGGAAGGGGAAATATTATTCCCATGACATCATATCTGAAGGAATTCCATGGTTGTCACATCCTATTGCCCTTGTAATATAGTTCGAGAACGACGATAAGAATACCATATACTTTAGAACAAATTACTTCTTTCCGATCCAACATTCGGATAGATGCATTCAGCCAGAATTCAGCAACCGGATTCGGGTAAGTAGAATCATAAAGCATGTGAAAGTACTCATCCCATCCAAAAATGAAAACCATATACTGGTTATCAAAGGCTAGATGCTTCAACCATTCTTCAAAGTTAACACGACCTTCAACAATAACAACTAACTGGTTCTCCATAATCAATTTAGCTTGAGAGTTTATTTCAGGTGGTGAGCAGATAAAAAGAGTTTTTATAAAACAGTGAGAATATATGACAATTGATGTTTCAAACAAGTTTAGAGAATGGCTTCTTTATAGACGTTGCCAAGAGTATATAATGTAGTAAAATAGTTTAGAAGTCCAATAAGTCTTCAAGAACAGTCTTTAAGAAGTCCAAAACAATTCAGAAGTACAAAATAAATAAATAAAGGTTTAAAAGACACTTCAAAAACATTGAAAAGACAAGCCATAAAAATAACAAATGAAGTCAGATATTCATCAATTTTAAATTATCACGCTGAGGCTATGATTGAATTTGCTAATCACTTTAGTTTTGTTGTATTTTGAAATTGACTATAGACGAGTATGCAACATGGATTCCGCAACATGTTGGTTAGAGTTCTAAATAACTTCTGAAGAAGGAGAATGTAAACATATATAGTCAAGTCACATGTTAAATTCAGACATATGATATCATTATTTTTGTGAGTTATTGGAAAATAAAATTGTTATGTGTATTTGGTGTGTAGATGTTGTATAGTAATTAGTTTTGAAATTTGCCGTAAAGACAAGAAGGAGACATGGTAAATGATAATATTATACAAAATACAGAACCATTCATCCAAATAACGTGGCAAATTGTCATTATGAAAAATCAAAATATCATATTACAACCCAATATGTTTCCAAATTAATGGACAATAAAAAAAACATCAAACTTCAAATTTCAACCTAATTTTACCAACGTCTTCCTTAGCTTTTCCTGCTTCTTCCAGTAAGCTACCGACTTTGCCAACACTTCGGCTAACAAAACATCATTACCAGAATGTAACAAAAAAAGTGTGAGTTTCATTCTTGTCGAAGTCACAACCTATATATAATATAACTTTGAATATTTAGGATAATTTGAAATATAATTACAAGGGATATGATTAAGTTAATGATATTCACATGAAATTCAACCTACACTGATTTCATTAAACAAAGTTTGGAAGGGACACTCAATCATCTACTTACATACCCAAACTCCACAATCATTTCTGTGGTCGATGAGTAAATGCATTAGAAGCAAGTAATAGGTTTTATTGTCAATCGATTAAAACAGAGTAAGGTTAAGGTATGATAGTACTTACGATCTGACATGTTGTTGTTTAAGGGATGTTGGTTCCGGTATGCCGAAGTTTGTTAATGTATTTCCTCGACCAAATAGAAGGATATCACCAAAAGATTCATGACACAGATCTCCTCAAGAAATATGGTCTGCCATCAAGGACATATTGCTGCAATTAAAATAAAAGATTAAATGTATTATAGTTCAATTAAATTTATACAAACATAATGTACAAGTAACAGTAGTATAGTAGAATAGTAATCACCGCAAACTCAGTAGGATATACCAAACGAACATAGTCTTTCCCACAGTATCTATGAACTAGTTTTTTCTTGCCACAACAAAATTAATAATTTATATTTTCATATGAAAATGACCTTAACAGAATTATACATAAATGGGATAAATTCAACTCATTATCGTATTAACAATAACCTCCTGGTCCAAAGGACATCTTGGCATCAGAGTCTTTAGTGCTTTCCAAACTCCATATATATTTGAAGATGTTTTTACCAAAACCTCATTGCTGCTTTAAAAATTGCAATTATCATCAAATTAAATGTGATAAATAAACTTATTATTAGGTATTAAGTATGTGCATTAAAATTAAATACCCATTAAGTTCTTCTTTGTTGCTCATAAAGATGTATGCGGCAGTGCAAGCACATATGTCATTTAGTGCTATTCTTGGAGATGGTTTAAATGTCATTGGCATCCACTATCATTAAATACACACGAAACAAATATTGTTGTTATCAATAATGTTAGGTCATGTAAAATTAGATTTTATTCAAAATAAATAATGAGCACTTACTTTAGGAATTTCAATAGCATGGTGTTCACCTTCATATCCAACACTATTAGATGGATGGTAGTTGAGGTAAAATTATCTACGGGATCCTCAGGTCGACAAAAAAGCGTCTTCCTAACTTTTGAGATTTGCTCGTCATCTACATTTCCCTTTCCCCCTTTTTTGGCCTGATATTTGGCGGTGTCGAGGTTGTTCCCAAAGTCACGTCCCGCTTAAATTTTTTTGCTTTCCTTTCAATTATCGCCGCCTTCTTAATCTTTTTTTGCGTTGCACAATGGGCGTAGATGTCGTCGAATCATAGTCTTTAGGTTCAAAGTTGTCACAGCCAAGGGTAATTGTCTTTAGGTTCAAAGTTGTCACAGTCAAGGGTAATTGTTTGATGACTACTTAAATTATTAAAAAAACCATGTTAATTAATGGTATAAAAAAATAAGATTAACACTCAAAAACAAAAGTTTATTTATGGTTAGAAAATAAGTTTACTTCATAGGAACAGAAAAAGGGTTGGTAAAAGTATTATCTATCAAACACATATCATACATGTAATAGGTAAACAAAAATCAGAATTTCTAACCTCGATGAAATGACGATGATTTTGGATTTGAAATGCTTTGTGTGATTCTCAGTATATTGCTCACTAATTTGTAGAGTTCGAGTTGAAATTTCGGAGTTCTTAGATGTTACTGGTTTGTGATGGCTTTCGCGTTTGGTGCTTGGTTTTCTCATTGATGGATATTTTTTCTTCAAACTATAAGGTAAGTTTGTGTACTTTGTGTGCAAGAAGTTCACGGGAGCCTAGAGACACGTTTGGATGTGCCTTTAGTTTATAGTACTAGTACTTCTCATGTCTCAATGTTATGTTTATCTGAATGTAGAAACTACTCTTAATGTTTACAAACACCATCACTTTTGTCCAATTGAGATAGTGACAATGAGACTACTACTTAATAGATGTTATGAATAGTAGTGGTAATCATTATGAAAAATGGCTTACAATGTAAAGTTGAAATAATATTACTTTTTGATGGGTTTATTTGCAACCATTTAATATTCCATTTATATGACATACACCTATACGTGTAGCTTTATTTGCACATTTGTAAAACTAATATTTAAATATAATATGAAGTAATACAATAAGATGTAAAACCAATA